AGACTGTGCAGTTTTAACCTCTAAGGCAGATAAGGAATCATGTATTTAACAGGAATCTAAAAAAATAGCACTTACACAAGATAGAACTATAGGTTACCATACAAAAGACAAGGCGTTTGTAGAGCATTTTGCTGGACAACAGAGTACAATTAAAGTTTTCCTCCAAAATCATATTAAAAAGAGAAGACAGGCGCCAATCTGTTTCCAATTCTCTTCTAAGTTTTGATATATGTAATTTGAATATATGTGGCATTTAAAATAGTTTCCCCATACGGGATGCCTGGCTCAGAAGTAAGCAATTTGCACTGGCATCATGATTCAGAGAAGAGTCACTGAAATGAAGATAATGATGACACTCCAGAGATCTGACATCATGTATATGGTCAAAATACTAATAAATCCATTGATATCTAGCTTAGATTTCATTAAAAAAAATACACTGCAGCATACTAGTTCTGGTTTCTGTTTTATCCTTTAGAAGCTCAATACTCTTGTTCTTTGATGGATACCTGTCAACTGATTAGATTCTTGTTCACTTTAAAAGCAAGAGAAGGAAGCATGAGTAACGGCAGGGCTATGGCATTCCACTCACCAGTTATTCTATGCAAGCATAACACGCAACAGGAAAAACCAATTACATCTGAGGGTTTTGCTCAAAGTAACATTGAGAATTGTCAACAATGGTTATTTCTGAGGACTATTTCTTCATTGCACACAGAGTTCAGCAAAGAATGCTTGCATTTCCTGTGGAAACTTTTTTGGGCCAGTAACATCCCACCAATTTTCCTCTTTTTATGTTTTTAAAAACATAAATAGATACAACATGGCATTCTGACAATAACCACAATGAAATGTTTGCACCATTCACCACCTTGCTGACTTCTTTCAGAAAGCATCAGGAGGCAAGCAAACTAAGGGGGGGGGGGGCGGTACACATCCGCAGAGGCAGCCAGAACCGAGAGACCCTCTTAACCTTCCATAAAAGTGGCTTGCAAATCTCAGAATCAAATTATAAATGGGACTTTCAGCTGTTTTTTTTTTTTTAATTTCTCATTGATGTCGTTCGCTCGCATGCTTTTCTCTCCCTCTCTCCCCATTTCTCAGCGTCAGTACGTTGCTGCTTTCTGGATATTATCTGATACACACGCATCAAAGTAGTGTTTAAGAACCTTTCCTTTTCGCGTGGATGAGATACGATCTTTCCGTACGCTGTAGTTAGATACAGGAACATCTCTCACTCTCTCACACTCTCTGTCTCTCGTGCGCACACACGTTTAAGAGGTTTTCCTGTTACATGGAGTGTTTGTCCCATTTTGCTATCCAGAGCCGCCTGCTTGGCAGGAAACTGCTCCTTGAACAGAAAGCTTGAGGGAAAGAAAAAAGGTAGGGTACAAAAGAGGAAGCAAAACAGCGCAGAAACGCGAGCAACAAGAGGGACCAGCGGCCGCTGGGAGGTGTTGCTGCCGGCGTGTGCCTCCCGTTCAAAGAGCCCCGCAGCTGCGGCGTTACTATAGAGACACCACCGCCAAACCTTTTTCCCATTAGGGCAACCCTCCCGCAGCCCGCGAGAGGGGTAGCGAGTCCCAGCCGAGCTCGGCGCCTTCTCTGCCTCTTCCCCCCAAAATCCAGGCGGCAGAAAGAGAGGAGAGTCCCCGCAGCAAACTTGTGGCAGTCGCCCGAGCTTCCTCCCCTCGCCCGGGGTCTCTCGCCTTTCCTCAGGTGGAACTTGCACTCACCCTGCCAAGGCTCGCTGCTCCTCCGCCACCTCCGGGGACTCCTCGCCGCAGCTCGACCAGCGCCGGCTTCC